TGAATCTCTCTCTCTCTCTCTCTCACACACACACACGCACGCACGCACGCACGCACGCACAGAGAGAGAGATATATATATATATATATATATATATAAAGAGAGATAGAAATAATCAGTCTACTTAAATTTACTTTATTTAATAATTTATGTTTTATATCAAATTTTAAATATTCAACCGTTAAAATTAAAGTTCTTAATGCATAGAACAGTCTACAAATTTTTATCAAATTTGAAAATTATTTTATATTCTTTTTTTTTGAAATTATTTTATATTTTATTTTATTAATTCAAATTAATGAATAATTATAAAAACATTTTATATATTAAGTTAAATTAATAAAATAAAATATTAAATAGTTTTTAAAATTTTAAAAGTATCACGATCTCTCCTTTTATATATAAATAGACACAAACAAAATACGACCTTTAAAAGGTATGTTTTGACTTAAAAGAATAGACCCAAACATTTTAAAGTCTTACTAAGTTAGACATCTGATATCTTTTTGCAAGTACAACAATCATTTGTAATTACAAGAATCAAAGACAAGGGTCAAGAACCAAGGATTGAAAACTACTCGAGAAAACTTATTCTTACCAAGTACATTCAAATCAAGACAAGAATTTTTAGCATATATACATGTTTTATCCTCATTTATATATTTTTTTAAATTTTTTTAGAAGTTTAACCATCCCCCAGTAAAATTATTATAAAATTCATGTGATAAGTTATAAAAAAAAAATACATTTATCAATATAAATATTACTAACTTAATTCCTTTAAATTATCTTGCTACTATCTCACACATATATAAATCTGTAAATTACACACATATAAATCTGTAAATTACTTTTATTTTGATATGTCTGAACCGTAGGTCACACCATTTATGGAATGAACTGTTAGATTGGTCTAATAGCGTATATATACATAGGAGGTTGAATTAACATGAATTATTTCTTAAATTCAATATTCTTCCGTTTAATATGTCGAAAGAAAAAAAAAGTTTGGTAGTAAAGAGTTAACCTTAATTATTAGGGAAGTGAAACTTGTCAAAAACAATTCCTGTAATTTGTGTTGTTTGAAAATATGGGGCTCAATCTATAAAGACATAGTACAAAAAAAACTAAACATTTAGCAAAGTCATTTGTAGGGAATAGTGATGTTTAATCAATGAATATTAACGTATTTACCCGCCGTTGCGCGCATGCCAAAACCATCGAATCCGCACGCTAGCAATCATGTGTAGTAGTGTCAAAGTTACAAATAAAAATTATACAATATCTTTTAAAATACTACTTTCATGTTTATTTTTTTATTATGAAAAGATATATATTATTAATAATAAAGAAAAATAAACTAAAAATAATATTATACAAGTTATTGTAGGATTTATATTCTACATGTGACATTAATCATTTACAGCACTAGTACTGATAACCAGCATATGTAGTTGGGTCAGTGATGATATTCGCAAGTGTATCAGTACAGTACTAGTGCTTTAGGTTCTTAATTTTTTTTATGCTGTTGACTGTTGAGTGTCCAACAGTCATCTTTATTTTGAAAAACTAAAACCAGAAAGTAGGGGTCAGCAACGGGCGAGTTTGGTCGGGTTCGGGTGAAAAATGTTCAACTCGTTGTAAATCGACTTTGGAAAAATGTGACCCATATCTGACCGACTGAGCTTTCGGTTTGAGGCGGTTCGGGTTGCAACAGATTCGGATTTGGACGGGTGGGTACAATCGTGTTTGAGATTTTCTGTGGACCAAGTTATTTTAACGATGGTGAAGCTTAAAACGGTAAAAAAAATATTTTTAAAACAGTGTACAAAAATAGAATAAAGGTAACAATAGATGATGTAAGTAGATTCGTAAATAAAACATTTTACAAACTAAAGAAGCAAAAATAAAAGATAACAAAATTCATAGTCGTTACATGCAAAAGAAATCTAAAGTTAGATTACAAAATCTATAAGAAACCACTGTCACACAAGTTTTACTCAAAATAGAGATAGGAAGATGGAAAAGAAAGATAAAGAAAGAAACAAAAAGAAAAATCTAAAAGTAGACTAGTGTATTGAGAAATTGAATGAGGAAGGAGAAAACAAAAGAAATATCTAGGTTATGAGAAAAAAAAAGTTACAAATTGATGGCTATATTATACTTGAAATAAAAACTTTTGAGTTTAGACCAATGTTGTTTAGTTATACAAAAATAATAAAAATATAAACTTATCTCATTTTTGGTTGGGTTCGGTTTTTAGCGGGTTTAAAAATTTAAAACCGAACCCGTCCAATATAACCTGTATAAAATCAAAATTTTAACCTGATTTACATGTAAAACCCACCCGAACCCACTCAAAAATAATACTTTTTATTGGATTTTTCAGGTTCGGGGTTCGAGTGTCGATTTTATGCTCACGCCTAGCAGAAAGGCCTCCACGAGAGTCACGCATGATATATTATATTCTAATATTATTATAATAATAAGAAGAAGAAGAATAAGGACAAAAACGTGCATAGAAGATAGAACTACTAAAAGATAGATGGTGAGATGAATTAAACTCGCATTTAGCGTGGCGGTCTCCTCAAATATCCGATATTTAATACTCCATGCATGCCACGAGTCACGTATTTCCCCAACTAAATAAATCTCCAACTCATGATGCTTTCTTCTTTACTCTTCACTCTTCACTCTTCACTCTTCACTAAAAAAAATCAAACACAAAGGTAGCCATGGAAACACCAACACCCCGGGCTTTGAAAATATATTTCCTCCCATTCTTCGCACAGGGGCACCTAATCCCCCTAGTCCAGCTTGCACGCTTGGTGGCGTCACGTGGCCAGCATGTGACCATCATCACCACCCCCTCCAACGCCCAACTCTTCGACAAAACCCTCGACGACGACGCCGCCGCCGGACACCGCGTCCGCGTCCTCCTGATTGACTTCCCCGCCGCCCAGGTCGGCCTCCCCGCCGGCGTGGAGAATCTCGTGGCCGCCTCCGACAACGACACCGCCTTCAAGATAAGCATGGCGGCGCACCTCATCAAACCCCAAGTGGAGTCCCTCATGAAGCAATCCCCTCCCGATGTGTTCATCCCCGACATCATGTTCACCTGGTCCAAACACTCCGCAAACACTCTCAGCGTCCCGAGACTCGTCTTCAACCCCATTTCAATCTTCGACGTCTGCATGATCCACGCCATTAAGGAAAACCCTCAAGCCTTTCATTCTCACTCTGGACCCTATCACATCCCGGGTCTACCACACGCTCTTACCTTGCCGATAAAACCCTCACCTGGTTTTGCTGTTTTGACTGAAGCTTTGTTGGACGCTGAAGAAGAAAGCCATGGAGTCATCGTAAACAGCTTTGCGGAACTCGACGTGGAGTATACCAAACACTACGAGAATCTCACCGGGAGAAAAGTGTGGCATGTTGGACCTAGTTCCCTCATGGTGCAGAAAACAGTGCCTAGTGTTAAAGGAGATGAACACGAATGCCTGACATGGCTCAACTCAAAGGAAAATGATTCGGTCGTTTACATTTGTTTCGGGAGTTTGTCTCTTATTTCGGATAAGCAGCTTTATGAAATAGCCATTGGACTTGAAGCGTCAGGGCATCAGTTTCTCTGGGTGGTTCATCGGAAAAACAAAGACGAAGGCAACGAAGAAGAAACATGGTTGCCGAAAGGGTTTGAGGAGAGGATGAGGGAGAAAAAGAGAGGGATGCTGATAAAGGGGTGGGCCCCACAGCCGTTGATTTTGAACCACGGTGCTGTTGGAGGGTTTGTGACGCACTGTGGGTGGAACTCGGTGGCGGAGGCTATCAGTGCTGGGGTTCCGATGATAACCATGCCGGGGTTTGGTGACCAGTACTATAATGAGAAGCTGATAACGGAGGTGCATGGGTTTGGGGTGGAGGTGGGCGCAGCGGAGTGGAGCCTGTCGCCGTACGAGAGTAAGAAGAGTGTGGTGAGTGGGGAGAGGATAGAGAAGGCTGTGAGGAGGCTGATGGATGGTGGAGAAGGTGAGGGGATTAGGAAGAAAGCGAAGGAGATGAAGCACAAGGCTTGGAAAGCTGTTAATGAAGGTGGATCTTCTCACAATAGTCTCTTGGATTTGATACAACATCTTAAGAGCTTTGTGCCTAGCCTAGAAAGGGTAGCTAATAACTAGTTAAATACCTTCAATTTTCCTACTCTTCGTGCAACAATCAATGATAATAAGGGATTTTCCACCAAATTAAATTAAAAGAAGTACTACAAATTAAAAATTAAAAAAACTATTTATCAAAGTAAATAGTTTCTACCAAGCTGGCATGCATGGAGTAAGTGGAGCGGGGGGTGGTGCGCAATCAGGCACGGCACGGATGGAGCAGATGGAGCAGGGGGTGTATGCAAACTGATCTGGCACGGATGGAGTAAGGGGTTTGTGCGCAATTTGTTCTAGCACGGTTGTCCCCCTCCGCATGATGAGCATGATCCAATGCGGAGACCACACAGATGAAGTTTTTTGTTTAGATGAAGTTTTTTTTTTTTTTTTTGTTTTTTATGTATTTTACTTAACAACATGTAATATTTTTGTTATTGAAGAATAAAATTATAAATGTTCAATTTTATAAGGACTTAGTAACAAATTTAAAAAATTGTTTCCATGACTACTACCTATATATACATGGGTCCTCTTAGTTCATTTCACACACTTATATTCCTCTCTTTTAAATAAATTAACAAAGTTTTTTGAAAATTAATTCTACAATAGTTTTTAAATTTGTTTATAGCGATGTCGAGATCATCCAAATACAATCTATGTGATGAATGAAAATCAGAATGGAAGATTAATCAAGCTATGAGGCGACATAACACTTCATGAGTTGTGTCATGCGATACAATGAAGGATAATCAAAGTTAATTACAAACAAGTTTCTAAAATTTATTATTGATGTCCTATATCAATTGAAAATGGTTGCTACCAGTATACACTATTTAAGTTAATGAAGATAACGATGTCAAGTTTATGTTCAATAGTTTTGCTCAAGATCCAAAGTTGTTAGTTATTGGTATTTTCTTTGTTATTGAGGATATTCAAATGCCATCATACATGATATCGGATTCAATGACAGCTTATAATTTTGATCGACAGCTAAACATACTATAGTTGAAATCGATATATAAAATTGTATCATTTCAAAGTGATGGTGTTTGTGTTCATTATGATTTATTGTTCAATGTGTGCTTTAGATTAGTTAACTACATCTTAATGTGTTTGTTGTTATGAATGTATTCACACAATGATATGTTTCTATTTCAAAAGCTTGTTGTAATGGTTTACTATTTGACAATGTATGTGATCTACAAATTTCTACAAGATTCAATACACATGAGTTGATTTTTATGAATACTTTTTAATTGTGTAAATTAGTCCCTATTATTTAAAAGTAACGGCTAAGATCTCATCGACAAAATTAACAGTGAGATCTTACTAGCTAGTTGGTCATCGTTATTGTTCACGCATCAAGCTTATTGTAGGACGTATTTAGTTGTTGTAGAAAAAGTAACAGCTAAGATTTCACCGACAAAATCAATGGATGAGATCTCACTAGTTGGTCATTGTCACTGGTCACACATTAGCCTTATTGCAGGATGTATTTAGGTGTTATAGAAAAAGCAATGGCTAAGATCTCATCGATAAAATCAACAATTGAGATATCACCTGTTGGTCATTGTCACTGTTCACGCGTTAGACTTGTTGCAGGATGTATTCATATGTTGCAGAAAAAACAACGGCTAAGATCTTACCGACAAAATCAACGACTAAGATCTCACTGATCGGTCATCATCATTGTTCACGTGTCAGACTTATTGCAGGATGTATGCAAATGTTGCAGAAAAAGCAACGACTAAGATTTCACCCACAAAACCAACGGCTAAGATCTCACCGATTGGTCATCGTTACTATTCACGTGTCAGGTTTCTTACAGCATTTATTCAATACCTCTTCAACAAAGTCACATACCCTCTTTAGACTTCTCCTTCATTACCTTTTCAAAGTTACACAACCTCTTCAGACTTCTTCTTCACAGTGTTGTTAGTGAATATGTTATGTTCATTAATTTTCTTCAAAGTGAAATTTCTTATTTTAATTTTAAATCAAATTATCATTTTGTGTTGCAAGTTGTTTGAAATCTGGAGTTATTTGTCGTTTCATTGGAAATGTCTTTCATTTGTGTGTTGTATTTTAATAGAAATAAATATCGTGATGATCAAGGTTTATCATTTGTTAGATAAACGAAAACTATTCACCTTAGTTTTGGAATTAACTTTTCTTACTTGAAAAGAAAATTTCACAATAAACTCAAATTACATGACCATCAAGTGATTAATTCTATTAGTTGTAGGTATCTTCATTTCATTAATCCATCAAAGTACGAAGGTCATGATATTTCAGACAATGAAGATATCGAGCTCATGTTTGATGCTTTTCAAAGCTAGTTTAGTACCATGATCGACTTATATATTGAACTTGATATTATTGGTCTTTCAACTTTCTTTGACTAATGTAATTACAAATGAGACTAATCCATATGTAATAGTAGATCAATGTGAAACACATATAATGTCCCCATTATTGAAGAATAGCCGCATGAAATTATTGCTCCCCCTCCAAATCATCCTAATTTGAATGTTGAATTTATAACAAACTTAAGTGATGATGATGGAGACGAACATGAAGAAGCCAACATTCCTTATGATAGCTCATCCGACACAGATGTTAAAAGTGATTTTGATGCATACTTTGACCCTATCACAAATGTTTAATCGCCATTTGACAAAGAACCTCTTACTAATAATGATCTTCATTTAATGCATATCCCCTGTGCATTTTCTATTCAAAATTTTTTGAATTGAAAACACATAAGAGATGTGCGCTTTTTATTCAAATTTGCCTAAAATGGAAAACACAATCCTCTGTACGTTTTCCATTTCGTACTTTGACAGAAAGTACTTATTTTGATAAATAATTTTAAAAAAAATTTGATTTTAATTTTTGGTTTTTTTAAAATTTATATTGATTGAAAAATCGATAATAAGGGAGCCATTATGTTGTTTTTTCGTATACTCGTATTTTCATCTATAAATATGTAAGTAATTTTCATGTTATTTTAAGTGATTTTTTTTCTTTTTCATGGTGTAAAATTCACTAAACTATATATACATCTACAAATAGTTGCATAATGTTAAGATAACAACTTGAGTTAATTTTACAAAACTAATTTATAAGAAAAAAAAGTATTCTTTCACTTATATATTTTATATTTTATAGTAATCATATTTAGTAGACCCTTAATCTTTAACATGGATTTAGGCATGGCAACAGGACGGGGCGAGGGCGGGTTTTACGTTCCCCGCCCCCGCTCCCGATACTCTCCGGGGGTAAAATCTAGGTCCCCATCCCTGTCCTCGGCGAGGTTCGGGTTTCCCCGCCCTGCCCCGCCCCGCCCCCGCTCCTCTCTTTTTTTTCTTTTTTTCTTTTAAATAAATATGAACAATTTTAAAAAAATAAAAGAAAATAAAAATAATATAAATTTTTACATATAAATATTTTTAATTTTGATTTATATATATAAAAATATTTTTTTAATTATATTATTAAGCGGGGCAGGGGCGGGGGCGGGGGCGGGGGCGGGTCGGTATTAACATGCTCGCCCCCGCCCCCGATTTTGTCAATCGGGGAAAACCCGAACCCGAACCTAATAAACACGGGTTTTTCCCATCCAAATCGGGGTGGGTTCGAGCGGGTACCTATGTGGACGGGTTAGATTGTCATGCCTACATGGATTTCTCAAAATTAAAAATTACCGAAAAAATTCTCTAATAAAAAAATCTATGACTTATTAGTATAGTGAAAAGAGATCGTCTCTCGCTATAGTTTTTCCTCTTAAAAAAACATAAAATAAGAAAAATATTTAACCATTATTCTTAATGCACTGATTAAAAAATCAAAATATAAAGTTTTTAATAACAAAGAGATCTTCATATTTTTTTCGTATAACTAAATTTTAATTTTAATAAAACTTAATGCATTTTGATTTCTTGATTAGTGACCTTAGACACCGATTAGCGGGAGTGCGGGACCAATAAAATAAAAAGGAATACGGGGACACTTAGGGTGTGTTTAGAAATTTTTATGTTCACGGAAGTTTGTCAGTTTTCAATAAGAAAAAGCAACGCGAAAGATGAATTGAGTTAAATATATATCATCAGTACAATTGGATGGGCCTATACCACAAAATGCTTTTTTTTTTTCTACACATTATAGAATTAGAAAATTTTAATTACAAACATACGCGTTTTAAATAATGACAGGAATATAATTTATAGTATATTTTGAGCCATTTAGTCGATCATGACTCTTGAGTCAAACTGAAGGGAATATCTAGGTCAACTTAGTAGTTGTTGAAGCCCGTTTGGCACCGCAAGACTATTAAATCACTACTTAAAAGGTCTGATGCTCAAGGTAAATTATGCTCAGGAGACAATTTTGTGTTTATAGAAGAAATCAATGTACCATAATGTTCGAGAGAAAAATAATTTTGTGTTAGCTTGGCACATTTTAGTGGCATGTGGTTTCTGAAATGACAATATATACCCTCGAATGATAGAATATCTATCTAGAAATTTTTGTTTTTGTTCTTTTTTAAAGTGCAATTATATATAATTTTCATGCATAACAATTGTATCTTTGTTTTTATGGAATCATGACTAGGAAGGTAAGGGGTGACACATTGAAGGAGTCAAGAGGAATGGGCTAGACATGAAGGATTGGGCCAGTCAAGGTCCAATGGGCCCGATGGGCTTGGAAGGCCCAAGTGGAACTTCTCATGGGCCATATCTTGTTTTCAATATTTTCCTTATGTCTTGTATATATCATATTAGCATAGATTTCCTATATTTTGGGTCTTGTATTTTGACCATTTAGGATAGCATTTTAGGCTATAGGCTTATTAGGCCTAGTTTTGGACTTCATGGGCCTTTGGACTTTTGTTATCCAATATTGGGCTCATTTTCATTCTTGTAATTTTTTCTTTTATTTGTATATGTTTGGTCATTGTATTTAGGCCATTAGAATAGGAATTTAAAAGGAATAAGGATTAGGCATAAATAATATAAATCTAATTACATTTAGGAGTAATTAGAGTTGCATTTGAGTCATATGTTTTGTGTCAAAGGGGACTGCACATGTGATCATTCAAATGAACCCTAAATTACACTTAAATGTAATTATGGTTTCTAGAAGGAGGGGCTGCACATGGGGAGCCAAAGTGGACGTTCAAAATTTGAATTCAAACTCAAATTTGAATTCAAATTTTGGCGCCACTTTTAGTGCACATGGTTAGCTCCTTGATCCGTGGCTTTATATGCTTGAATCCTTCACCTTTGTAAACACTTTGAATGCTAATAGAGATTTATGAATTTTCAGCCAAGTCTCTCCCTCTCAAAGTCACCAAAAGATTCTACTCTTAGTCTTAGGAAAATCACCTCTCCTAGGCTTAGTCCGTGGGTAATCTTTTGCTTCTCTTGCTAGGATGCTTCCATCTTAGCTTAGGGAAAACCTGAA